TCCTCCTTAAATTAGCAGCAACGCTTGTGTTTTCACCTGTTTTTATTTTTCTTTTCAAGTTGATATTCACAGCGCGGGATGGGAGGAACTGACATGCAGAAACTGTGTTGCCTTCTGTTCTTGTTGTTGTTTCCCAGGTCTGTCCTGGAGCATTTGGATACGTTAGGAAGCTGTTGTTTTCTGGTGTTTGTTTCGCTTTGCTTTTCCTTTCTCTCTCCACGTTAATGCGCTCACCCAGTGTTTCAAACGCTCATCACAGCGTTAGCCAGGATGCTCGGTGTTGTGTTTAGTCACCTCGAGATATGTAACATTAAACCCCTCTCAAAAAGGTGGTTGTGAAGCGGCTTGTCTACAAACAAAAGGATAATATTAAGCGTAATATTAACTTTTATGGTATTTAAAAAATCACCAGCGACTTGTCTGATTTTCCCCCATTGTCCTCGGCAGCGTTTGGCCCCAGGAAGCCCATTAAACGTGGACAGTGCCGTTATTTCATCTGGCTGTGGCCGAGCTGCTTTGCTTTGCTTTAATGATGTGCTGGAATGCACGATGCCCATAGGGTCTCCATTAGAAGAACTTTTACTTCTGGGACGACCATGAAGTTAAAGGCTTAAAAGAGGCATCAGTTTACAGCCTGGTGGGAATTACTAGCAGACTGGAGTACTAACTCCTGACTGCTCCACTAATAGAGCGACTTGTTTTAAATAAACAATTGCCAACGGGACCCTGTGGAAATATTTGGGCCTCTTGAAGCGCCCACCGAACCGTCTGAGGGGAGAGGGGAAAGGCGGCAAGAGACGTTTAAAAGATTTTCGCTTGAAAGAAGAAACACATCGCCGTGTGTTGATGTGTGTATCCACATCCCCGGATCGGGATGCTGGAGGTCCCGACCGGCGGCGGGGCCAGGCTGGACCCCCCCGCTCCTCCTAGCCCCGGCTCGGGGGTATGAGCCTTCCTCCCCCTCTTCTTCCTCCTCCTCTTGTGGCCGAGCTGGGTTAGAGCCGAACCGCTGGGAGCGCTGCAGGAAGGGGGACTATTAAAAAAAGGGGTTTTATCCCCCCCAAATAAAGAAAATAAACGAGGGGAGCGGCGGGCGCGCGGTGTCCCGGCGGCGAGCGCCACCCGGCGGCGGCGGCGGGCGGGCCGCGGTGCGGGCCGGGCCCGCCGCGCTCCGCCGGTACCGGAGCCGCTTTTGTTTATCCACCGCCGCTTCCTCCCTTTGTGCCGCGGCCCACGGGGAGGCAAGGGGGGGCTCCGGCTCCCCCATCGGGGGCTCTGATCAGGCCGATGGGCTCGAGCAATCAGTTTCCCAGATTACTTGTATTTAATACACAATGCATCATAAAGCAAATCCCTCATCCTGACAGGGAGAAAATAGAACAGCTCATAGCGCGAGCCGGGCCAATTTATGGCTAAATTAAAAAAAAAAAAAAAAAAAAAAAAAAAAAAAAAAAAAAAAAAAAAAAAAAAAAAAAAAAAAAAAAAA